ATTTTCTCCAACACTTTTAAATATATCTATAAAAGAACAAGCGCAAAATGTTTGCTTAATTGTAATGAAGATATGTTACATTTGGTCTGAAACAATCTAATGGCATCTCATTAGAGTTAGTGCCCCTGAAATGTCCAATTATAAGGTTAATTGATTATTACTTCAACATGGTTCATTATAAAGCCATATGACCTTTTACAAAAGGTTGGATGACATATGACCTTGAAAAATGACAACCGGAAGTGACCTTGAGAAAACCGGAAGTAGCCATTTTTGCACTTTTTTCATGGAAAAGAACTATAAATCCATATATTTTTTGAATGGACATACATTAACCTATCATTTGAGACCGGAAGTGACATTTTATAAACCGGAAGTAGCAAATTATCTCCCTTAATACAGGCATAAGTATATACAAACTATATATTTTTGGAATAAGTGTGAATGAAGCTATCATATGAGACTGGAAGTGACATTTTCTTAACCGGAAGTAGCCAATTATCTCCCTTTTTACAGGCAAAAGTATATATAAACCATATATTTTTGGAATCAGTGTAAATAAAGCTGTCATATGAGACCAGAAGTGACATTTTCTAAACCGGATGTTGGCAATTATCTCCCTTATTTCAGGCAAAAGTATATAGAAACCATATATTTATTGAATCAGTATGAAGAAACCTATGATTGGACGCCAATAATAACTTTGAGTAAACCAGAAGTAGCTTCTTATCAATTATTTAGAAAATTGATGTGGAAAGACCTTCAATTGTTCTTTGAACAATCGGTTTTTAACTATTATATTTTTCTTCCGCCAAATTTTGTTCTCGTGTAAAATTTTTGTTTCGCAATATGTCGCTAAGATATTTCTTAAATAGTATCATACAGTTTATGCGCTTTTTATTTTCACCCATCCTAAGCCGAACACTTTTCTTTGTAAGAGTTATCTCCCTATTTACTGTTAATTAAGTGTGTGCATCTCCTTCGTAACAAAAAAAGATATCGAGAAAAAAAAATGTTCTAAATTGTTTGTTACATCCTCAGGAATATTTGGCTAATTTGGATCGTAGCGATTCGATGAAATTTTATAGGAGTTATCTACCTTTACAAAATAAATTTGTCGGTATGTTTTTTAACTCATAAACCGTTAATGGTATAACCCTGGAATCTTTTTATTTGAGGCCCCTAGTTCTAAACTTAGAAAATGAGGTCAAGGTCAAAGGTCAAGGTCAAGTTCTTAACTTGAATTTTCCTTGTTTTTGCATTTTCTCAAACACTTTTAAACACATATATAAAAGAATAAGTGCAAAATGATTGCTTCATTGTAATGAAAATTTTGTACATTTGGTCTGAAACAATCTAATGGCATCTTATAGGAGTTAGTGCCCCTGAAATGTCTTAATATTAGGTTGATTGATTATTACTTCAACTTGGTTCATTATAAAGACAAATGACCTTTTACCAAATGTTGGGTGACATATGACCTTGAAAAATGACAACCAGAAGTGACCTTTAGAAAACCGGAGTTAGCCATTTTTGCACTTTTTTGATGGAAAAGAACTCGGAATCCATATATTTTGTAATTTAAATAGATAAACTTATCACTAAAGACAAGAAGTGACTTTCGATAAACCGGAAGTGGCCAATTATCTCCTGATTTACAGGCAAAAGTATATAAAAACTATATATTTTTGGAATCAGTGTGAAAGAAGCTATCATATGAGACCGGAAGTGACATTTACTTCACCGGAAGTAGCACATTATCTCCCTTATTTCACTCAAAAGTATATAGAAACCACCTATGTATCGCATCAGTATTAAGAAACTGATGATTGGATGCCAACTTTAACTTTGAGTTAACTGGAACTAGCTTCTTTTTAATAAATTTGAAAATTGATGTGGAAAGACCTTCAATTGTTCTCTGAACAATTGGTTTTCAATTATTATTTTTTTTTCTTCCGCCAAATTTTTAAATTTTTGTTTCGCAATATGTCGCTTAGATATTTCTGATATTGTATCGTACAGTTTATGCGCTTTTAAATTTCAACCTGCTAAGCCGAACCAGTTTCTTTGTTAGAGTTATCTCCCTATTCACTGTTTATCATGTGTTTGCATCTCCTTCGTAACAAAAAAAGATATCGACAGAATTCTTTTTACAAATTGTTCGTTACATTCTCAGGAATTTTTGGCTAATTTGGAACGAAGCGATCCAGTGAGATCTTATAGGAGTTATCTGCCTTTACCAAATAAATTTGTCGTTATGATTTTGTAACACATGAACCGTAAGCCGTATAAAAAAATTGACCAAAATGTTAGTCGTGACATGATATAAGTGGAAAGTTTTTGTCGAAATGGTACGCGTCCTTGTTTTAGGGGTTCCATGCCACTGAAACGGTAAAATGAACAGAATGAACTAATTATAGCCTCAAACTTTGCAGTTATCATGATGTATACATGCATCTTATTGTTATTTATCAACCAAGGTCCACCATCCTCCATCCCCCCTTTTTCTTTGTTTCTTTCTTTTTGGAGGAATCCCATTTCGCCTTGAAGTTCAGTCCTGTACATTTTACTGTAAAAATGCAATCCTTCTTATAAACAAACTTCTTAAAGGGGCACTAGCTGTCAAATTCATGTTCACCGATTTGACTCAAATTCTCATATTTGATTTATAACAATGTAAAACATTTATCCAAATTATAAAAAGTGTAAAATAAACAATATACCGGACATAGGCTCGAAAATATTAAGCTTCGTTTCGTATATATTTTAGTCTAGATGCCATCTAATTAACTGTCGAGTTGACCTCCGAATACCTCCGATTGCCATATAAGGGATATAAACATAAATATAGATATAAATAGATATCAGACTCGTGCATTTGGATTTTTATAGGTCCGTTTAATTTCATATTATAGATTAAAAATATATGTTAATCATCGTTTTTACCTGTATAAGAAAGATATTTTTTTTGTGGATCGAATTAGTCAATCAAATGATTTACCTTTGTTTCACTTTCAATGTTGACATTCTTTTCCTTTAAATAATTGAACACGAACAATGCATGCGGTATCAATCTCTAACTAAGAGGTTAAATTAAAGTTCACATGAATACGGATTCAATGTGGTCGAATTATTCACTCGCAATTGAATAATTCATCATCAATGTTTCTTAGCTTATTTTGACAAAATTGAACCATATTGGCTGCTAAAAGCGATATATTATTTTACTTTTTCACTTTCATTAATGATTGAAAAAAAAAAAAAAAATATTTTAGATTTTTTATATATCTCGTAGCTAGCTAGTGCCCCTTTAAATAGAAATTCATCCCTGCAAAAATCTGCTCCAATTCATGTGTTTTCTGAAATTAATCGATGAACGATTTGTTATAATACTAAAATAACAGCATTATGTTTGTGTGAATGCATTGAACGACAATAGTTAACCTGTAAATATAAAATGAATCAAGAAAAAAAGTTCCCGTTAGGTGCGGTTAAAATTCAATGACATAGAAATTGCTCCTAAATTCGGAAATATTGCTGAATTCCTACAATCAAATTTCTAAACATGCATTAAAATACAATTCTGTGCTCCCGTAAACATGTGTACGTAAGATGCATGCATGATCCGTCATCAATGACCTGTAAATCATAAAACCAATAGTGATCGTGTTTCTCCGACATATATATTTGAGCGTCACGTGACTTCAAAACACCCTCGCGCGCGCGGACCTAAAATTAGAATAAAACATTCCATATCCAAATATAGAAAGTGAAACTTCCAAGACAAACTGTTACTCAGTTTTTTCCTACAAGTTCAAACAAAATGAACACACAACACGTAAAAGAAACCATGAAGTACGAGTTCCAATAGAAAATAGAGTAAATTAAAAAAAAAAAAAGAAGATGTAAGGAATTTTATTCATTAGGATATCCTGAGTCTGTCCGTTTGGGAGTGCAGGATGTATAAGTACGCAGCCACGTCGTCGGTCAGAATATCGACTTAAAGTCCTAGGCCTCGCTAAGAGAGAGAGAGTGCCATGCAGACTTTCAATCAATCAATCAATCATTCAACCAACCAACCAACCAACCAACCAACCCATCAATCAATCAATCAATCAACCAAACCAACCAACCAATCAATCAATAAATCTGTTTAATACGGGGTCCAAGATCACAATTGTTTCTTTTTCGCTCGTTCCAAGAGACCCTATCCCATGTGTTTAATTAATATGTCAGTCAGTCAGTCAGTCAGTCAACCAACCAACCAATCAATCAATCAATCAATCAATCAATCAATCAATCAATCAATCAATCAATCAATCAATCAACAAAATCAATTTATCATGTTTCGGAGGGGAAATACCGTTTAACAATTGTTTTAAAAACAATTGATTTATATTTTTAAATCTGAACTTCTAGTTTCTGATGAATTTTGTTTTCAATGGTCTTTAAATGTTTGCTAAGCAGAATTCTTATTGTCGAAGCCCGTCTGGTGAACCGTTATACAAAATTGATCAAATCGATTTTATTATCTGTTTCTAGGTCTTTCAAAGAAATTGAACATTACTTTTATCTGTAGTAAACTCGTTAGATTGATTCTTTTTTCTCCCTTGGACTATATGCATGTTTAATTTTTATTCATTGTATACTGGGAATCCTTATTATAGTAGATATTTCCTAAATGCATGTCTCAAAAATTTTATTTTATGACACAATAAAAACTTGATGGTCTTCTTCACACCTACGTGTGAACATTAAATTTCAAGTCTTTAGTTTATTGTGGCGTGTTTTGTGTACAATTGTTGGTCTGTTGGTCTATTAGCCATGGCGTTGTCAGTTTATTTTCAACTTATGAGTATGAATGTCCCTTTGGTAACACTTTGCAGTTTTAAATTTAGTAACTGTTTGATCTGATGTTATAAAAGATATGTCTACCTAACTTGCTAAATAACTCTTTATCACGAAAGCATGTACTCTGAAATGAATGTTTTACAGCTCTTCTTTCTATTCCTGTTGCCTAACCTTTATATTGCCTATGAGTTATCATGCCCACATTCGTCACATTGGAGATCAAGAGCTGAAGGATTATGTACAATTAGACTGGCATTTCAGTATTATTGCTTATGGGATACCAATAACAAATCGTACACAGAATCATGTTCAGAAAAACCAGACGTTGCGCCTAAAGGTAAGATGTAACAACTAAGTATACATATACAAACATTGATAAAATGTATTACTCATTAATTAAACGCCAAAGATTACAGAATATCAACTGCTATAAAAGTTAATTCAGCAAAAGCATGTTTTGAAATGTTAATTTCTCAATCATATAAAAAAGTTTAAACTGGTGCTTTTTTCCATTCCATGCAATAAAAGTAATATAATCAATAGTTTAATTTTGTATATATAAAATATATCCTGCACTGAGGTTTCGAATGTAGTGTAGCTTCAAGAATTTTAGGAATGGTAACGTGTGATCATTCCTCAAATATTGCTTTCTTTCAATATTAATTATGAATTAATGGAGATAGTAAGTACAAGTCAAAAAGACAGTTACCCAACGTCACACATAACAAATAAAAACCATTTAGAGGTCAAGATGAAGACTTTTTTTATAGACAATTGTTTGCACAACACGTCGAGCACTAAAACTTGCAAGGTGAAAAAAGGTTGTCTTTTTATAGTCTTTTTAATAACTTTTACGGCATGATTTTGGTAGGTACGGTGTATCTTTTAATACATTTGAAAATAAGAAGAGGTGTTATGATTGCCAATTAGACAACTATCCACAAGACACCAATTAACATAACATTAAACAACTGAGGGTCATCGTACGGCCTTCGATAATGAGCACAGCCAATACCGCATTGGGACAATCTCTAAAATCAGGTATGTACATATGCCAATATATAGATATTATTTTTAGTTAGAGGTAGATACAGAAATAAACACACTAACTTGTTTTAATCTAGTGTTGTTCGCAAAATTGATTAGAATTACTACCTGCATTGTTGGACAGCGAATGAAAGTACCCAGTTTAAGTTTAATACTTTTGCATGCATTTAGGAAGAAAATACATTGTCGAAGGATCACCAACATTTGTTCAATGCTCACTTGATCGATATCAACCCATAATATTTTACCGGAATGCTAACAGTCATTGCATCTTACTCAAATCAATGTGCGCTGAAAAGGGGCAGACACTTTCAGGTCAGGGTTCGACAGAAGATGACGTCAGATGTCGATGTGATTACAGACAAGGATATGATTACGTAACCAGACCAAAAGATATTTGTTATTGTAATCCTACACAAGAAGACTGTTCATGTTTTCAGAAACAATGTGATGACACCAAATATCTCTCACCTGGTACGTATTTACTATATACAAACACCAATTACTGCTGAAGGCATAGTCTTAGAAAAAGGGCAGTGTTTTGGATTTGTGAATTTTGTAACAGTTTGTTAAATTACACTTATTGATATTAATATTCTTTGGAATAAGAGTACCAAAATATTAAGCAAACACATATGCAAAAATGTTTTACATCATCACCTATGTATTGTATACAACTATTAAAAATTTATTTGATAAGGCCATTAATCGCATGTTCCTTATTGAATTATATATTAACGGTGCATCACAACAGCTTCTTTACATCGATACAATACCTGTCACACACACGAAATTTTCTACATTCGTCCTCAAAAACGTTCAAAGTCTAATGTTTTAGAAATCCCCAGGAATTGTAAGTCTGGATTAACATGAAGTATAGTTTAAACATATTTTATTGTACAAAACAAATAGATTAGGCACACGTTTTCAACTTAGTTCCGTCTTCTCCATGCAAGTATAGTTTTTATGCCTACTGTTTTTATACCAGTTGTTTTGTTTTGCATCATTCAGATATGAAGAGTCAAGCTATTTCAAACTGCTTAGTGTTTTCTTATGTTGCTTTGTTACACCGCTGTGCCAGGGAAAGGCCTGCGGGGAACGGTTAAACCCTAAGGGCAATCATAGCCCATCTTTTTTTTACTCAGATACACAAGAATCAAAATACAATGTAATACAAAATATACCTTACTGAATAGCTACATAACGGCTCAACACTAATAAAAGGGGTACGGGATAAACGTCTATAAGACAGTTACCAAACAAAGTTATTCAATGTGGATAGAGTATGGTGTCATTACGTAGACTACGGCCAAGTACCCCACACGTATGACAGCACCTAAATCGCCTATATCTAGAAATAACAACCACTAAAACTCATTTACCGAAAGGAAATACCAGCAAGACACAGCGATTTAAAGCCCGATTGAGTTGGATCTATAACAAATGGAGTACTTCAAAGTTGATATATATATATATATATATATACATATATATATATATATATATTCATATGGACAGTGCTACTTACTTACTATTGTGATTATATGAAGAAGAAGAATTGTTGACAACACAACAAAATTGTTTAAAGAATGTACAGGTAAACATGAATAAAATTTACTCACGGTAACTGTCAAAATTGAACAATAAGTTCAGTTCCCTATTTACTACATCAACATTTGGATTATTTGCTATGATATGCATTCTAATTTTACAGATTATCAGTGTGTGATGAAGGATGCATCCCTAGTCAAGTTTCAATGTGGACCGATAAATATTTTACAGTGAGGCATATTTTATAATGTAAAATGACGTTTATTTTATAATAGTTTTAGTCTTTTTATGTATAATTAAAAATTGCACATCTACTTTCAAAGAACAAATTTTCCATTAGCTGTCATAGTTTACTTGTATGAGAGTTTGTTAATCATTTCTATATCTTATAACATATATATGTATTTTCTGTATAAAAAGAGCAATTACCGTTTTAAAGTTAAAAACACAAATGAATTATTTTTTACCGTTTTCAAATATTACTATATATTTATATGTTTTAGAGAGAAAGACACTACTACTTCAAAGAACATATTGAGAGGTATCTATAAGCATATCTCTACTTATATACAATCGTCTGTTTCAACAAATATAAAGATTATATTATAAGGTCGGAAAATGTAGCAGGGAAGCTTAATAGTTCGCTAATGTACGTTATCATATTAACCTGGTGACTTTAAATAAACACAATGGTAGAGGATAATTCTTCGTTCATATCGAATTATCATTAGTTAATAAAAGAAAAAGAACCTAGAACTGTAGTATTTCAGGCTGTTCTTAGAGTGTTTAATGTATCAAACAGGAAGTTTAAAAACTGGATAAAAACAGACAGGTTTTGCCACACCACGAGACAGTCAGTAACGGTCAATAGAAAATAAAATAAATACCATATGATCAAAACGGATGGAAACAAAAACAGTGGTCGATAACCTTTAGATTGAACACCATGATTTCGAATAAGAATCTGTCATGAACTTAGCTATTCTGGATAAAAGTAGTTACTGTATTATACACGGTACCTTTCAAGTATCTCTGACCATGCAAGTTTTTATATTAGTGTTGTTGGTTTTATCAACAAACTTTTCCTATTCTTTGACATCGCCAAAAGATTGTACAACTGGAGCATAACAAATGTCTAACATAAGAAAACACCATTGCACATAAAAATTCTCTAAACGAAAAGCTGAATATCAAATTAATTTCAGATTCTACAGTAAAGGCAACAACCAATGGGCAGATTGGTGGAATTGTTTTGCTAGTAATTATTATTGCACTATGTATCGGTAACTATCATTTATTTAATTTGTTAAGAGTTATTCTAAGACACCGTGGTTTCAGTTTTGATGCATGATGTAAACAATTGCAGTATGCGAGTACACATGAGGACTATATGAATACTCCGCATTATTACAAAAGTGCACATATTGATTTAAAAAAAAGAAAAGAAACAGATCGTTGTAATCTGTAATTGTATTTTGTGATAAATTTAAATGCTGTAGACTGGAAGTTTTGCCACTCTGACTATATGAAAAAAATATATTCTTATTACAAACTTTTTACAAATTAATAAGATAAATATATTTAGGTTGTGTACAAGTTATCATTTGTACAAAAAATATTATATAAATATTGTACAAAAAAATTGTACAAATTGTGTAAAAAAAATTATCATGTGTATTTTAGCTTCGTACAAATTGTAATTTGTACAAAAAGTGCTTGTACAAGTTACAATTTATACAAAATTTGACTTAAATTCACTTATAACTTATACAATAATTTCTAGTATGGATTTTGTTATAAAAAAGCACTGATACACGCTATGGAATTTTATTTCAATGACCCGACAATAAACCTTACAAAAAAAAAAAAAATACATGAGAGTTAATTCAGATAAATAAAAGAAATTAACCCCAGTGACAACTCTGATAAAATAATTAAAGCTGCCCTCCTGACTATTTTGATAGAATAATAAAAGTGACCCTCGTGACAATTCTAATAGTATACTAAAAATTGGAACCAGTGATAAAACTGATAGTAAATAAGAAATTGGCCTCAGTGAAAATCTGGATTACACTGAAGTTATTTAATGTGTGTGTGTGTGATGTATTGTTTAATACATATTAAACAGTATTAAACTTTGGTATTTCAAATCCATAAATGTACCTTGGGCTAGAGGTCTGTTTTTGTACTATAAACTTGTTGTGATTTGATTTGATATTTTAGTTTTTTTGATAATAGTATTTGTAGCTAACGGTAATAAAACGACAATAAACTAGACGCTTTAAAGATCATATATTGCCCACATAGGTCTATGTGCATCTTTAACAATCGACACTCCCAAACATTGTCGACTATCATAAACAATATCCTTTTTAATAACCATGTATTGCTAATAATCGTTTCTAATAACAATTTCTCTCTACTATATCTTTTATACTTTTTGTCCAATGCATGGGAAGGGTAAAACATTGTCATAGAAGGGCAATCACTCATATAAAGTGTCTACTCGCGATTTCAGCAATTTTGTTTAATATATTGCTGCTCATTAAAAATAATTCTTCTGACTTTGTAATGTTGATCACTTGTTTATATTCTAAAAGGAAAAAAGGTGCTACTGAGTGTGCATTTTACACAAATGTATAAATAGATATATGTGATGATAAGATTGCTACAGTCCTTGGATGGTGTAAACTTCCCACTTACAGCATACACCATTACACCATTCACCATACACCATTACACCATATACCTTGTGCCATTACACCATACACGTTACACCTTTGCACCATACTTCTTCTTCTTCTTCTTTCTGTAACTTCCTCCTGTGGTTAGGAGCACACCAATTTCTTGATTATTCACAATGGGCTTATATTACACGGTCGAAAATAGCTAAAATCACTTTGTTATTTTACAATATAAAACGCAATTGCATATTTAAAAGACGATGGGCTTATATTACACGGAAGATATTAAAAGTTATTCACTTTGTTACTTCGTTACTAATAGTCTAAAATCTAAAATGTCACTGATTCACTTTATGACGATAGTAAAACCGTGGTCTGACACTACTTAATATCTGTATGTCTCTATATTCAATATATCAGCTACCACTTTGATATAACGATTTTCTGTATATCTATGAATTTCCCTATATCAACGTATTCCTAAGTACATCTATATCTCAACTGTCCTCTATGTACTTCTCACTTCTAACTGATCTTTACACACACCCCTATTTTGTACTCTGAAAAGTATTGAAAAGAAGTTTAACTCCATGTGATGAATGATAAATTTTATAATGATAGAGCATTAATCTGTGTTAACCTCTGTTGATGTAATTTATCACACAAATTCCTAAAAATTGATTCAACCTTAATCAAGAAATTACTGTCATTTGGAAGTGTAGAACCTACTAGTTTTCTGCAGTCAACAATTAATTGGCTTAGTGTTTCCCTATTTTAAAAATTAGTTTTCCATTGATGAATCCCAATTTTATTGATTACAGCCTGTTTTAATTGGGCATAAAAAGTCCTTCGGACCCCTTCCAGAGATGGACATCTAGTTAGAAAATGTTGAAGGTTTTCTTCCTCAAGTTTGCATAGCGGGCAAATTGGGTCTGTACTTCCTATATTAAATTCAGCTTTAGTTGCTTGTAAGAGGTAGGTCCCAGTTAGTATTCTAGCTATTGTTATGGCTTTCTTTGTATCCCCTGGAATTTCTATTGCAGTTTTCCAGACTGGATGTATTTCCCCTATATTGATAGTGTCAGTACAGAGTCGGATCAGAGTTGATTTTTCTTTACTTAAAGATCTAAATCTAAAATACACCTTACACATATTCCCAATTCCCAATTCTATCTACACGTTCCGAAATTACCCATAATGCAATTAAATTTCAAAGAAAGCGTGCGACTACAAAATTATTTATTTGTTTTAAAAAACGAATTTTGATCACAATATTGTAAATTACTGTATAAAATTAAAACCTCCGTGTTCATGCCTATGATGGTTTTATAAACAATACAAATTAAATATATATATCAACTGACCATATTTTCACTTTATTATGTAAATCTATATAGCCGCATAGTAAATCAGCAATATTTTGATGTCAGAATGGATTGCATTATACCAATGACAGCAACATTGCAACACAATGACAACAAAAAATTGTCCCCATCAATCTAGATTGCCAGCATGTCCTCTTTTTATTCAAAATATTGTCTCACAACAAAATTTCAGTAATTTTGATACCTCAGGATGACTCATAAAGCAAAACTATTTTAACGCATCAACCAAAACTGACCATATTTGCACTTTATTATGTATATCTATGCCACATAGTGAATCAGCTATATTTTATAGTCAGAATGAATTGTAAAATAGAAATGACAGCAACATTGCAACACAATGACAACAAAAAATTGTCCACATCAATCTAGATAGCGAGCATATACTCTTTTTATACAAAATATTGTCTCGCAACAAAATTTCAGTAGTTTTGATACCTCAGGCTAACTCGTATAACAAAATTATTTTAACGCATCAACCAAAACTGACCATATTTGCACTTTATTATGTAAATCTATATAGCCGCATAGTAAATCAGCTATATTTTTGATGTCAAGATGGATTGTATAATACAAATGACAGCAACATTGCAACACAGTGACAACAAGAATTATCCTTATCAATCCAGATAGCCAGCATGTCCTCTTTTTATTCAAAATATTGTCTTTGCAACAAAATTTCAGTAATTTTGATACCTGTGATCAGGCTGACTAGTATGACAGAATTATTTTAACGCATCAACAAAAACTGACCATTTTTGGACTTTATTATGTATATCTATATAGCCACATAGTAAATCAGCAATATCTTGATGTCAGGATGGATTGTATAATACAAATGACAGCAACATTGCAATACAATGACAACAAAAATTTGTCCCGATCAATCTAGATAGCTAGCATGTCCTCTTTTTATTCAAAATATTGTCTCACAAGAAAATTTCAGTAGTTTTGATACCCCAGGCTGACTTGTATAACAAAATTATTTTAAAGCATCAACCAAAACTGACCATATTTGCACTTTTAATATTATGTTTATCTATATAGCCACATAGTAAATCAGCTATATTTTATTGTAAGAATGGATTGTATAATACAAATGACAGCAAAATTGCAACACAATGACAACAAAAAATATCCCCATCAATCTAGATTGCCAGCATGTCCTCTTTTTATTCAAAATATTGTCTCGCAACAAAATTTCAGTAATTTTGATACCTAAGGCTGACTAGTATAACAAAAGTATTTATACGCATCAACAAAAACTGACCATATTTGCACTTTACTATGTAAATCTATATAGCCGCATAGTAAATCAACAATATTTTGATGTCAGAATGGATTGCATTATACTAATGACAGCAACATTGCAACACAATGACAACAAAAATTTGTCCCCATCAATCTAGATTGCCAGCATGTCCTCTTTTTATTCAAAATATTGTGTCGCAACAAAATTTCAGTAATTTTGATACCTCAGGATGACTCTTAAAACAAAATTATTTTAACGCATCAACCAAAACTGACCATATTTGCACTTTATTATGTATATCTATGCCACATAGTAAATCAGCTATATTTTATTGTCAGAATGGATTGTAAAATAGAAATGACAGCAATATTGCAACACAGTGACAACAAAAAATTGTCCCCATCAATCTAGATAGCCAGCATGTCCTCTTTTTATACAAAATATTGTCTCGCAACAAAATTTCAGTAGTTTCCCTTGCAGAAATAAATCCTGACATCTTTTATAATCAGGATATCTCAAGATTATCCTGGGAAATCCTGAAAATATCCTGTTAGGCATTAAGCCCTGTTTTTAGGAAAAAACTTAATGGGAGAATTCCAGGAAATGTCAGGACTTTCGAAAACAAGCAGCTTAAAACAAGGGGAATTCTCAGGATATCTCAAGACTTTCAAAAATCATATTATATAAACCAGGATATGTCAGGACTTTTCCATCAACATTCATCCTACTTTCAGGACCTTTACAAATTCTATCTGAATGAAAAAAAAAACAAATAAAGTCCTTGATGATTCCTGGTATTGGGACTTAAGAAAAAATATAATCTGTATTACAAATTCAACTAAAGAAAAAAGAAAATCTTTGGGACTGAAGTTAACTATTGTTTATTAAAATATATATTCATATGAAGATAGTGTGTTCTAGCCAGGATTTGAAAAGGGCAGGGTGCTAGTCAGAACAAGGGC